AAATGAGACAGTAAATAATCTTCATTCACTTATGTCCACATTAAAATTATTTTGCATTTTTGTACATGTATCTTTTGACAGCAAAAGAAAGCTGGCTGTCAGAAGAAAGTAAATTTGAATATTTATAAGTGGTCACAGATAAGCCTGAAATAGATTATAGAGACAGGAAATACAACCATTATATATAAATGCTGAAGAATTAATAGTACATCAAGGACCTTATAAAAGTTATCAGGGGGTTGGGACCAGCAGTTAGCGTAATGGCTATGTCGCTGGATTCCCACGTAGTCGACCGCGGTTCGCGTCCTGGACCTGGTGGCTTAAAACTCACGCCGGGCGCGTGTGCGTGCGTGCCCAAGATCCCGAGAGGAGAATGGAGGAGAAGGGATTGCGGCGTGGCCATCCCCCCTGGGGGATGATTTCTCACTTTCTGTCTCTCTGTCTCTCCCTGTCTGTCTGGCGAGCGCACACGCCCTATAGCAAAAACCTCTAAAAAAGAAAAGAAAAGAAAAGAAAAGAAAAAAGTTATCAGAGGTGGGCCACCTGGTGACATGGTGGTTAAGACAGTTGGTTTCCACATGGCTAACTGCATGCGTGGTTGAGTCCCAGATCAGCAGTTGGAAAAACACACCTGGAGTGTATGCATGCATGCCCAAAGTCCCAACAGGAGAATGGAGGAAAAGGGACTGCAAGGTGACCATCCACAGCGGAAGGGGGTGCTTTCTCATTTTCCTTCTCCGCCTCTCTGTCTCTCCAGTGAGTACATGATGTGCTCTGTGGCGAATTAAGACAAAGTATCAGGGGAGGCTTTCACTGGAGGAAAACCCATAGCAGAGGAACATTTGAAAGGTAACTATTGATTAAGCAAAGAGGAATGCCTGTTCTCTGAAAGGAGGGCAACCAGTGCTCTTTTCGGCACACTGTAAATCTGGCACTGTGTCCCCAGGCACACTGAAGCAGCTTAGTGGAAGCTCAGTCCTGGGAAGCTTTACAATTCAGTCTTTTCAAAAAATGTATACATGGGCATGGACATGCACATGTGTGTGAGTGAGAGAGCGAGGGGAGCAGCGAGGGGAGCACCCTCCACAGCGTCGGGCCCTGTCACAATCCTCCTCCTCCAGTCCTCCAGTCCATCAGATCCTGAGCACTCACGTGTGCCCAGCCTGTTTCAGGCTGACCAGGCCAGGGATTCAAACCGTGGTCACCATGTGGGATCCAGTTTTTCTTGAGCAGTGCATTATTGTTGTACCATGGATCTGACCTAACTGGGAAGTTCTGATTTAAAAAAAGAAAAATAGCCTACTTTGATGATCTGTTTTGATGTACCTCTCAGATATAGAAGATATTAGCTAAGAGGCTTAATTAAAGAACAAATCAGTCTGTGTGCAGTGTTTGGTGCCTATGTGGTTTATAAAGCAATTATAATTTAATATCTAGAAAAACATATTTTCCAAGGGCCAGAAGATTCTCTAGTATCTGGATGATAACCCATGAAAGACACAAAAAAAACCAAGGCCTCTCCACCACACCAGCCTCGGAACGCAGGTGAGATGTTCAATAGACTCAGAGACTTTTAACAAAGTACTGCTCACGAGGCCCGGCACTGCTCTCCAGGACAATGGTCCTAGGGCCTAAAGGAAGTGTGCTTATTTAATGTGGAAGATAAATTATTTCAATTTCTGAACATACACACAGTATGAGGCAAGGTTCAAGGCCTCTCTCTGTACACAGGGGGAATCTGTTTCAGGCTGACCAGGCCAGGGATTCAAACCGTGGTCACCATGTGGGATCCAGTTTTTCTTGAGCAGTGCATTATTGTTGTACCATGGATCTGACCTAACTGGGAAGTTCTGATTTAAAAAAAGAAAAATAGCCTACTTTGATGATCTGTTTTGATGTACCTCTCAGATATAGAAGATATTAGCTAAGAGGCTTAATTAAAGAACAAATCAGTCTGTGTGCAGTGTTTGGTGCCTATGTGGTTTATAAAGCAATTATAATTTAATATCTAGAAAAACATATTTTCCAAGGGCCAGAAGATTCTCTAGTATCTGGATGATAACCCATGAAAGACACAAAAAAAACCAAGGCCTCTCCACCACACCAGCCTCGGAACGCAGGTGAGATGTTCAATAGACTCAGAGACTTTTAACAAAGTACTGCTCACGAGGCCCGGCACTGCTCTCCAGGACAATGGTCCTAGGGCCTAAAGGAAGTGTGCTTATTTAATGTGGAAGATAAATTATTTCAATTTCTGAACATACACACAGTATGAGGCAAGGTTCAAGGCCTCTCTCTGTACACAGGGGGAATTCTCCAGCTGCAACTGAATCTGTGTCAGGGCCGACACTCTTTGTGGACTGATGACTCCTGGTGGCTTATGTGATTGTGTGGCTGGCTGCGGCCACATGGGCGAGCAGGAAATAAGACGGAGAGCACCCACCACCAGTGTGAACGGTGACACCATACCAATTTTTCCTTTTCAACATTCTGGATATATGAGTGAAAAGCAACAGAACGCACTGCAAATGAAAGAAACCCCATCTCACCTACTGACACCTCTACCACACCCTCGGAGGTATGTAACCAAGGGGCAAGTTATTTAATAATCATGATGATGATAAAATAGCTCCCAGCCATGGAGAAGCAGGTTCTGGGTGTTGTTAATCATTCTGCATCTTTTCATCCTTAAGCTTAAATTTCCTCATCTGCAAATTGAAGATAATAATGCATCTGTTTCATTTGCAAGTTGAGGCAACACAGAAAGAACACGGTTTCACAAACAGACAGGGGTTTACAGCCCAGCTCCAGTTTCTACTGCTTGATTATTATTTTTTTTTTCTCATCTCCAAAGTGGGGATGAAGCAACCTACCTCAAAGGGGCTGCAGTGAGGAGCTGATGGAGACAGTGAGTCAAACACCAGCTGGTGTGTGCACTGCTAGGAGGTGTCAATAAGCGTTGATACCCTCTCTCCTATTACGTGAGCTGCTTCTGTTAACCCATCAGCAGCCAGCCAATGTCCATGGTACCGGAAGAGGCTTTTCTTTCCATAATATCGATCATTTTACCCAGAGCGAGCTTACTATGCCAGGCACTGGCTCAACAGCTCCACAGTCATGAACTCACTCATTCCATCTTCACTGCAATCCAGTGAGGCAGGGAGTGCTATTATCCCCATTGTACACGAGAAGACGCGAAGTACAGAGCATAGGTAACTTGGCCAGATTCCAACAGATGGTACCAGAGCCAGCAGCCTGGCCTCATCCTCTGTCCTCCTAACCGTGGTACCACACTGTCCTTGGGGTTAACCTGTTGGAGAGCCCATGCTTGGATGTGATCTTTTTTAGAGATAAGCCCTGGGTACTCTCACGAACTACAATGTATTGACTTGACTAAGTTTTCAACTTTTAAAATAGCATTTTATGCATTTTCTTAGAATTCTTTTTTAAGAACTGTTTTAAATACGGTGCCTATAACTAGTTCATCTTCTTCTGTATGCTGAAACACCATAAATAAATGTACTTCTCTCTCTAAAGATTACCTTACCTTAATGCACACTCCTGAGTTTTGGTATAAGCAATTATTTCAGGCCCCAATTTATATACGTACATAAAGTCAGGACGGTCAAAGTGATCCGTTTTGTTAACCTAATAACTTCGGTACCAAATCCTGCAAATGTTTCCCTTTTCGCTTGCAGTCACTATGTAACAGCCACACTGCAGAACTACATGGTATTTCAAAGTATTCCTTTTCCAAATTTAATCAGCTCAAGTATTAAACATCAATAATAATCATCTATCGCTCTGCTTAAAAGGAATCTCTAGGGGAGAGTCAAGGAAAAAAGGTTAAAGATTTCTCTTCTTCAAACACTGCAGCTATCAATAAATCATGCTCTTTGTTTATTAAGATAATTAAGCCCATCAGTGCACTTAACTTTCGGGCTCAACAATTGTCTGGCACGAACAATTTCCACTTTCTCTAAAACAAAGGGGATGTGTTCAAAGGGGGTCCTCTCCATGCCCTCTGCACAATGCATGCTATTTTAAAACATGATTTATGTGCCTAATTCCTGGAGCCGCCTTGAAAAATATACTGGGCTCTTTCTCCCATGCTCCCCATTAGGAAAAGACACTCCAATGTGAAGCGTGCACTCTGTTTCAGACTGCAGGCCGCTATATCATGTCAGCATTTTCATTAAATACTGTTCGGGCTGGACTTCAAACAAATGAAATGAAGAGCCACAGCTGCAGCCACTGCAGACAAAGTTATCCAGCCGCGAGGCTTATGTAAGAGGTGCAGGACGACCAGGGGAAACCCAAGTGTCATCCAATTGTCATCTGACAATACTATTTCTTTGAGAGTTGCCCACATTCTTTAAGTGGCAGAAATCATTTGCCCTGCGTGTTTTTCTCATTTCATTTGCCATACATCACACAACCCTGCGTTGACATAGACGTGTTTTTATGTCCCTCCCCCCCTTCCTGCCCCCCCAAAACTGGGCTCCAGTTAGGGAAACTTGGGCAACTTCTGCCTAGGGGAAGAGTGAAGTGGGATGCGCAGGAATCCTGCGGGTCTAAGAATAGCTTCGCTCCGGTCAGAAGATCCAGCGCAGTGCTGGTCATCCAGTCACTCCCTGGAGGACTCCGGATAGAGATGACAGACCCAGCGGATGGCTCTTCCTCTGCCTCCTCCGCCTCACCACTCTCGCCACCGCAGACAGTGAAGGAGCTCGCAGGGTATAAGCTGCTGCAGGCGAGATGCCCTCCGGAGCACCTGTCCTCTCCAACTGGCACATTCGTCAGGCTGAAGCCAGCCAGCCCTGGACTCCAGCCTCTCCCCGCGTGCCATGTCGCCTTCTTTGCACCCTGAACTCCCTCTCTAAGCTGGAACCCTGCCGACGAGAGGTGCCATCCCCTGGCTTCCCACGACATGAAGGTAATAAAAACGAACCTCTCTTTCCCACGGCTCCCTCCAACTTCAGAAACTAGCGTCAACTTACTGGGACTCCGGAGGCAGGGAGTCTTCTCGGGGATGGCGCTCCAAGGCAGCGTCTGCAAACTCCGGCTGCGCCTACTCCGGCTGGCCCCGGTCTGCCCCGCGGCGGGGCAT